AATAAAATAACGGGGGTTATATAAAAAACATAAATATCCCAAGAATAATCTGAATCTGCAATTGATATCTCGAGTGGTTGTGTGTAGAAGCAAATATAACCTAGAAAATTATCAGACTTCCAGAATTTCATGAATAATAAAGGTTCGGGAACTAAAAACAAATGCCCAAAATGTCAATATTTACTCAATAATGTTCACTTTGTTGCCCCCATATACCCAATGTATTGTAGTTCTCAAGATTTTTATATATATCCATCCATATTAATCACAGTTTTATTAGATATTAGATATCTTAATTTCATATAACCAAAGCATAATCAAAATCACTTGGACCATCTCCTCCACCTCCATCAAATATATATACATTATTCTTTATATTGAGGAGGGGAAAATTTGAGCTGATGAGAAAGCAATTTATTTAAAATCAAAATAGAATGATCATTTAGTAGTCTCAAATGTGTTATATTTGTGAAATTTTTGCTTTGAAAAGTTTCTGTAATAAAAATCCATCAAGCTGGAACGTACGAATCGATCCAGCTAAAAAGTAACATCCGATCAATAAACGAATAAATAAATAAGATTTTTCTCCGCTATCACATTTATCATATTTATCAGTTAGTTATTAGTGCATTGACCATTGTACATACATCAACTAGCTCCAGGAATTTAATGATATTTTCAATTACTCCAATTCTTTATTATACTTGCTACTTAGTATTATTAAAATCTTCAATCTAATCTTTACCTTGAAACCCACCACACACTTAGCTAGCTTCATTGGTTCAATACATAGCTTTGTTATTGACGCTGATGATAAAAACACAAAACAATTGTTCAATGAGGAGGACTGACGGTACAGTTCATACTCTCTATAACAGATCTTGCTTTATATGTCCTATATATAATTCATTACTGTCTATAACAGATTCTCTCTATAACAGGCATTAGCCAAACGGCCCACTATAGAGAGAGTGGAACTACTCGTAATTTATAATCTGAATTACAAATTGATAATAATCTCATGGACCATCTAGTGAGAAATAAACCACGCATAAATCTCAGACATCAACCTTTCACAATTTAAATTTTTTTCCCATTTCATCTGTCTGGGTATTCTGATCGTCTACTTTTGATTATGGGATACATGTGCAGAAGGTAAATAAATAAGTAATCTATCTGTTAAAAAAAGTTATTGTTATCATTTCTGCACTTACTGACAAAATAATAAATATTGGATGTACAGATACAGCTATTGTTAAACCAACACTTGATTCACGTAAAAGTTGGCATCTTGTGTGTCATTTGACTCTAAAAATTTGGGATGTCCGTAGTAAGACACCTTTATGCACTTTTCAACAAATATTAGATTCATCAAAGATAACATCTGAAAAGAAAATTTATGTATTGACTGGACCAAGGTTTAATTCAAAGTGGTGGAGAAAATAATAATTTACATGTTTTATAGTGCTAATAAAGTTAATCCATAATCCTTTTGTTGCAATAATTTTGGTACACACAATACAATAAAAAATCCTTTTTATTTTCTAATACTGACCTTATGAATCAATGAATCAATTCTAGTGATCACTATCTAAAAGAGAATTTGTAGTTCAGTTAATGGCAATATCTTTCTTAATATTAATAATGTATTTTGGATTTTTTGTGATCGACATATACGTCCAATTTCGGCGAAAACCCAAATTTTTTTTTTTTTTTAAAAAAAAAAAAAAAAAATGATAGAAAATCTGAATGAGCAACAAACATCCAAGTCAATTAATTTTTCTGCTTTTTTAGAAAAAGATTTCAATGTAAAAGCATGGATTAATGATGCCGTTTCATCAAGTGTTAAAGATGCAACAACAACTGTCGGAAAACATTCAAAAGAGCATGAAGTTCAACTGTTGGAAAATAATGTCACTATTCTTATAGAAAAATTACAGTTCCTTTCTCAAGAAATTTCTCATAGACTAGGTAAAACAGTTGAAGATGTTACCAAGAGCATGCCAAGAATATTATCTGATTTACAAGTCATGCAAGAAGATACAAAAAACTTGAAGGTTGATATAACTAAAGTTAAAAATAGTGTTAATAATGTTGAAACTGATACTGGAAAGACATTGTTGGAACAATTGAAATCCTTAGATTTGGTAAAATCACGGATGGAAGAATCACATGCTGTATTACAAGAAGCAGAAAATTGGAGTAATTTGGAGGCTGATGCAAACAATATTTTTGCTTCAAATGATTATCAAAAAGCCAGTTCACGCCTTCATGAAGCTGAAAAAAGTTTAATAATATTTCAAAATACACCAGAGTATGAACATCGTCATAAATTGTTAAGCGAACTGAAAAATCAACTTGAAACAAAGATTAACCCTCAACTAGTTGTTGCTTTGAGTGAACATGATATTAGTTCATGTCAAATGTTCTATGCAATATTCTGTCAAATTGGTCGAAAAAAAGAATTTTGCAATTATTATTATGAATCAAGAAAAGAACATTTTGTAAAATTATGGCAAAATGCAGCTATAATTGATGTTGCAACAATGATGAATGACACATCTAAACAAAAACATCAACAAAATCCACCTATAACGACAATAACAACCTCATATTCAAACACCTTTGATTCTCAAAATCAATCAAACTCATATAAAAAATTTGTAGAATTTTTACAAGAGTTTTATGAAGAATTATTTATGAAACTAAATAAAGAATATACTTGGTGTGGAAATGTTTTTCCTGATACAAATGAAATTATAATAACACTTATTGAAAGTATTTTTGATTCATTGGGACCATCTTTGAGTACAAGATTGTTAGGTTTGATTGAATATTATGGTGAACAATGTTTACCAGAAATTATTGATGCCTTTACTTTAACTGAAAATTTTGGTCAACAAATGGAACATATTTTATTTAATCCAATTCAAGTCACATTATCATCATTATCATCAAATAATAATCAATTGATGCTGCCAAAGATGAATTTAATTGATTGGGGTCGAGTGATTTTTGAACCTTTTGTTGAATATCAACATGATTTTTCCGAATACGAGAAGAATTATTTAATTGATTTGTTTAAAAAAACTATTCTTCAATCAACTGAAATTTCTGGATCTGTTGAACTTGCAAAAGTCATGTCAGGAAATATTTCAAAAATATTTTACATGGCAGAAAATTCAGTGAAAAGATGTATGAAACTTACACATGGGTTTGCAGCAGTTGGATTAATCAACTGTTTAAATTATTTCTTTTCTTTTTTTATAAAAGAATATCATACTTTGTTGGATCAATTACGTACAGACTTTAGATTAAATGATTATCATGTCAAATATCATAAACATTCAAAATCATCTGGACATATGAATGATTATTATTATAGTGAGTTTGATCAAGATAAATTACAAGAAGATTGGTCCAATTTTCAAATTGGATTGAGGTTATTATCAACATGTCGTATTGCAACTGATAAATTAAAGATATTGGAAGATAATATTAAAGAAAAACTTGTTAGCATGAGACCTTTGATAGAGCTTGATATAAATAATCATGACAAATTTGGTTGGTATGAGCAACAATCAGTGATTATTGAAAAAACAACTTTTACAGGAACTCTATCATCTTTATCATTATTACAACAATCACCTCTTAACAGTCATCAACTTAATGAACTTTTATCAGGAGATATCAAGACAAAGCAAGTCTTAAAACCTTCAGCTAAATCTATTAGCACTTTTACTAAATCTAGTCAACTTCTTGTTTTTGATAGCATTTTTTTTCCTATTGTTAAACATATGATAAATCTACCCTCAATGGAAATTTGGAATGCAACAGCAGAGTCTTCACAAATTTCACCATTTAATATAGAAATTCCAATATTCAGTTTATCACCATCTGAATATATGACTAGGATTGGAGAACATCTTTTAACTTTGCCACAACAATTTGAAGTCTTTGCTGATGATGAATCATTGGCTTTTTCTATTGGATCACTACCTTACAGTGATGAGAAATCAATAAACACTGCTGCAGCAGTGGCAGAAGCATCTACTACTACTGTTACTACTGCAAGTAGTATAGCAACAAAGGAAGGAATCATAAAAGAAATTGATCAAAAAGATGAAACTAATAATAATAATATACAGATGGAAGAAGAAGAGTTTTTAACAGGAGAGGTCACACATACTTGGATTACATCTATAGCTCGTGGCACTATGCATGCAATTTTTGAACGTATTTTGGCCATCCCACAATTATCAACACATGGTATAAAACAATTGTTAACGGATTTAGGTTATTTGACAAATGTTCTTTCTGCTCTAGATATTTCACCAACCAGAGAAGTACAAAAAACTGTTAAAGTTTTAGAAATGGATGAGGATCAATTATTTAAACTATTAAGATTAAGATCAAATAGTGATGATAAAATTGACGAATTTATAGATGCAGGTGATAGAGAAATTTTGATTAAAGTAGCAGCATTAAGAGGAGTCAAACTATTAGATTTATAATATTTATGTAATTATTTAATTATTTAATTAATAAAAAGTTTTTTTAATAGATTGTATTTCTATTATATACTTTTAGACATAAATATGTTATATATATATTATTAGATTCATCATATACCAATTTTTATTCAAAATCATTTTTAAGAAATAATAAGTACTTTAGTAAAAATCCATGATTTTGTAGTGTAAAAGTACTAACGTTGATTAAACGAGGGAGTGTTAATATGGATTAGTGAAAATACTTGTGTAATGTTACCGTGGGTTAATAGCATTTAACCCAGAGAAATGTTAAGAGTGATTAACCACGTGTGAATGAGTGTTAGCATTTATACCAAATCAATTAAACAGCATCTGGATTTTGTATTTTGATTTATCTGAAAAAATACACACAAAAAATATATTGCTTTGCTGACTGACACAAGATAACTTTATTTGGACGTGTCTTAAAAAGAAATTTTGTATTCAAATATTGGTTTAGCTAAATTGCTATACTGCACGAATTAATTTCCTAATATATAAAAAATACATCAAATTAAAGAACCACATCCCTCAATCAAGTCATTTTAATTCTTTTGGAAATATCTAACGCTTTGCACCAAGTGACATAGGCGGTTTCCAGGATTTGCACGTATGGGTGAAGTTCTTTCTGACGATGGGTAGAGGGAAATACTTTAGTCCATAATTGAATTGGTGCAAACGCCAGGTTCATTAAAAATTGTGATGGTGGGCAATCGTCATAGCACAAACATAAAATGTTATTGGCAATCACGGTGCCGGCACGTGTATAGAAACTGATGTAGCCAGTGTCTTGTTACTAATTTTGAAGGATAATTTAATATTGAGAACATGAAGGATGTGCTTTGTCAATAAAAATAACAATCTTACAATGACCAGACTATCAACAGTGACAGGAATAAGTTCATTCGCTTTATCCAAAACCAGAATTTTGGTCTTGCCAGGCACCACATCTTGAGCATACAAGATTGATAAATCACTACGGAAAATGCAGTGCGTAGATGTCATGCGAATTTGGCCTGTTTTAAAAAAAAAGTATTTGTGGTCATTGAAGATCTTAAGGAAGACCTGTGAACGAGAAGGTAAATTAATTTACCTTTACTTCTATCGGGATTTGTGAATTCAATTTTTTATCATTTCAAGAGGATAATCGTAATGGCCCAGATGAGATATCAAGTAAACTTCAGACGGACACGGACACTTTACCAACACCCACTTTACCGACACCCACTTTACTGACAAGACACTTTACCAACAACATGCAACATGTTATTTTAGCATTTTGTTAGTTTGTTTTATTTGTAGAGATTAAATGTAACCCCGCGTGTTGTCAGTAAAGTGGGTGTCGGTAAAGTGTCCCAGACCCAACTTCAGAAAACTCAGGTTTGTTATTTCTGACATTGCTGAAAACAAGATCACCAACTTGGAGTTCTGCCATCTCTATCACTTTACCGCTTGCGAGTTGCACCTTTGTATCAAGAGCAAAACAGTCCTATAAAAATTAAGCATGCAAAAAAAGACAAATGAATACCATTCACTATCCATGAAATGTGACAATTTATCTTGTAATCATGTAGAAAATGTAAACATCACATTTCAGGGACGTTTGTTTGTTTGTATTTGTACCTTTTTTTCAACTCTTCAATTTGTGACTTTAGGTCTTCAATAGTTGCTTTCAAAGCATTCAAATAATCCAAATTTTGATCAATTCCAGCCATGTTTTTATTATACTCTCTTTTGGCCTCTTCTTTCCCTTTTATCATTAAATTTTTTTCTTCATATTGCTTTTTTGCTTGTTCTTCTTTCTGTTTCTTTATACGCTGAATTTTCTCTTGCGCTCGTTGAGTGGATTCAAATGCTTTTGTAGTATAGACACCTCATGTGCTGGAGATGAATGCTTTAATCTCTCCTAACTGGGCTTTATGCACCAGATCATCTGGGGGATAATAGTCAGAATTTGGGGATATTCCCCAGCGGTTATCTAGTCTTCTGATGAAAGATGAAACAGTCGAATTCCAAGCATTTCGCATTTCATCCCTACTGGCATTCTGCTTTTTGGTCGCATGAGAAAAAATAGCAATGATATAATCAATTGTGCCTTCCCCAAGAAATAAATTTATATTTTGCAAGACACTCTTTTGCTCCTCGGTAAACCACCTTGCTTCTGTAGGGCAAATAAAAAAAATAATAAGGTTACCACTTGCCATCATATAGTCATAACTCTTTGGTCCTTCTTCCAGAAGCTTCATTCTGTGAGCTTTGATTGTAATTATATAGAGAGATGATGTTATTACATACCAAAAACAAAAAGGATAGCTTTGACACTGTAAGCACATTTATGAATTGTTTTGGCAATTTCCGTGAGAATTTCGTCAGTAACCCTTTGTGTATCAAAAATTCCTGGAGTGTCAACAAGTTTATAAGCAACTCCATCGATTTTCAATGTTGATGTGCCACATTTTTGCATGCAGGATTCCTATATAGTTTCATCATTAGGATCGGAATGGAAATGAATTTCATGCAAATATGAAATATGATGACTGACCATGCCTGATGAAACCTCAAAAGGGCCTTTGTCATATGGCTGATCGAGAAGCAAGTTACCGAGAGTACTTTTTCCAGCACCTTGACACAAATTATTCCTTTAATTAACGAAAGAAATGAGAATATTAAAAATCTTTTTGATGATGCTTACCTGTTATCCCTATTAATAGAATAACAGGAGAAGTAAAGTTAATTTCAGAGCCCTCGGAAAAGTTTTGGGATGGAATCTGTTCATCTTCAGTTGTTCTAGTATTAAAGAAATTGAAAAGAACAGGTAATGGTAAATATTGTTGAATAAGTTTTATTCATCTATCAATATTACTCAACTGGCTCATTTTGAATGTATAGAGAAGAAATTTTTTGAAGTAGTCTATTTATAATTTATAATCTGTATTATTTCTATATTTGGAATGAATCAATTTTGGCTGAGATTTCTGTTGCACAACACTTACCATAAATTGGTGTCAATAGGACTGGGAAAACTCTACCACCAAATTAAAAGACGAATCATATTAATGTGAATCTTTATTTTTTCTAATTATGTGAATCGATTATTTAAAAAATTATTAATGCGAATCAAAATAGCCAAGGGCATGTGAAATTTATCTTTATTACTTACTAAAATGAGCATGGATTAAAATGTTTCAATCATCTACTACAATCAAACAAGGATTAATATTAGAGTAAACAAAATCCTAAAAAATAAACTTTTCTTGCGGTGTAATATGAATGGTAATGTCTCCTCCTGCCAAATTTTTGCATGAAAAAAATACCATTGTAATATTGGATAATAGAAATATATAATAAATGATCTCAAAATCCTATTATTACTCTCAGAATGTCTTAAAGTTTGCAACTTGATAATTGACTCCAAGTGAAATAATTTGACCACATTTGCAAAATAACTTTTTAGCATTGACAAATTCTTGAAAGTTGGTGCATGTACTGAAATCATTACTGCTGATTTATTTTTTTATTTTTTAAAAAAATTTCCCCTTGTTGATAATCTCAAATTAATGACACACTATTTTTAGTGTCACAACACTATAAACTCACATGACCCAAATGGTTAATAATAACATTTCTTCTGCAATAACTAAACTCACTAGGATAACTATTAAAGAAAATGAACAATTATGTAAAATATACTGTATGTTTGCTTTTTTAATTTAACATATGTTTTTTTATTATAATTAGCACAACAAATTATAATTAATAAATTTTTATTGAATGGTAAATAAAGAAAACCTTGGCATTTAATCAATGCCCCAAGTAATAATCATATGAAACCTAGGGTCTTCTGAAGCAATAATTCATGATGCGGGGCATAATAATAATTCGTGATTCAAAACATAATTCGTGACACAAGACATATAGTTTGTGATGCGAAGCATAGTTTGTTAGTTCTTATTATAATAATAAAGGAAGACCCTAATT